TGTAATCATTTGGGTAAATGACTAGAAGTGGGATTGCTGGATCATAGGGGAGCTCTGTGGAGTTTTTTGAGGGGGACCTCCATACTGCTTTCCAAAGTGATTGAACAAGTTTACACTCACACCAACAATCCAGTAGGGTTTCCTTTTGGCCACATCCCCTCCAGCGTGTGTTATTATTAGATTTCTTGATTATAGCCATTCTAACTGGGGTGGGATAGAATCTCAATGTTGTTTCGATTTTTGCATTTCTTTTATGGCTAGAGAAGTTGAGCATTTCTTTATGTATCTATTGGCCATCTTATTTCCTCTTCAGAGAGGTTTCTCTTTAAGTCTTTAGCCCACTTGTTGATGGGGTGGTTGTTTCTTTGAGGATTTGTTGTTGGGGGATTTAGTTTTTTGAGTTCTAAGTATATTTTAGATATGAGACCATTGTCTGTTGTAATGCTAATGAAGATCTCCCAATCCATGGGCTTTCTATTGATCTTGCTAGCTATGTCCTTTGCCATGCAGAAGCTCTGCAATTTCATGCAGTCCTATTTGAACAACCTTTCTTTGATTTACAACAGCTTTTTTCTTATTAACACTTACCTCCATTCCTTCTCACTGCCCATTCCCATTACTCTAGTAACTTATTTCCCATTACTTCTAGTCACTTACTTTGTGTCCTTGAGATTTTTAAGGCATGCCAGTCTTTTATCCTTATAGTCTTAATTATAGTGTGTGTGTGTGTGTGTGTGTGTGTGTGTGTGTGTGTGTGTGTGCGCGTGCGCGTGTGCGTGTACACAGTAGTACCAAGGCTTGAACTCAGGGCCTCTTGTTTGCACTCTACTTTTTCTTTTGAGCTGGCACTCTATCACTTGAGCCATACCTCTAGTCAAACTTCTTTGCCTGTTCATTGGAAATAGAATCTCACCAACTTTCCTGCCCAGACTGGCTTTAAACTGTGATTCTCAGCTCTTGCCTTCCTGAGTAGCTAGGATTCAAGATATAAGCCACCAGCACCCACCTGGAGTGTAACATTTTTAAAATAACTTTTAAAGGAAATTTAACTTTTTTTAATTCCGTGGCTTTCATGTAATAATCCTTTTATTTTCACTTATTAAAAAATGCTTACCTAGAAGTGGCGCTGTAGCTCAAGTGGTAGAGCGCTCACCTTGAGCTGAAGAGCTGAGGGACAGTGCCCAGGCGCAGAGTTCAAGCCCCACGACCAACCAAAAAAAAAAAAAAAATGCTTACCTATTAATAGCATAAGGCTGTGAGATATCACTGAGTTAATACATCTTCCTCTCAGTGTCTTTCAGTATAGACAGCTCTGGTGATGCTTCTGAGGTCCTCACCCACAGGTGGTCCGCTCAGCTGAGGAGGGAGGTAGTGCCCTTCAACTGCCTACTTCTCTCAAATCATGAATCCAATGAAATCAGATTTTCTCACCTCATCTGGTACACAGTAGAACTGTTTTTTAGTGAAGTGGCTAAAGATGCTGCTGTGGACTTAAACACCTCATTGGAATTTCCAGGTGTTGTGCTTGTCAAGTTAGATTTTTTTTTTTTTTAAAGATCCATCCATTCTAAAACTATAGGACAATTTAGAAAACATTTTTCCTTCACCTTCTTACTTTACAAAAGAGAGAGAGAGAGAGAGAGAAAGAAACAAAGAAAGAAAGAAAGACAGAGAGAAAGACTGAGGAACTATACTTACATGAAACTATTGTAACTATGGATTGAAAAAAGTAAGTTTAACAAGAGGTCGGTCGGGGTGTTCATTGTTACGTTTCCAAGGTTTTATACAGTGTATTTCAGTCAATCTCCCCATCACTCTTCCTTATCCACTCCCCTTCCTAACACAATTCAACAAGTTTCCTTTATTTTTTTTCTTTATCATACTTTCTGACAATCTACAATCTATTTTAAAGGTATTTATTCTATTTCATCCTTGTTAGCCCAAACCCTTCTTGCTTGAACCACCCTCACAACAGCCTTTCTCTTTCCCTTCTCTGAACGTCCTATTGATCAACAGCTCTCACTATGGTTCTTTATGCTACTTCTATGTCGTTGCAGGATATCTCAAAATTATTCTTCTTCCACAAGGGGTTAACATCCTGTATATACAGGGAACTCAAGAAACTAATCCCTCCCAAACCTAACAAACCAATTACTAAATGGGCAAGGGAACTAAAGAGGAACTTCTCAAATGAAGAAATAAAAATGGCAAAGAAACACATGAGGAAATGTTCATCATCCCTGGTGGTGAAGGAAATGCAAATAAAGACAACCCTGAGATACCACCTTACCCCAGTCAGAATGTCCCACATCCACAAATCAGCAACAACAAATGCTGGAGGGGATGTGGAGAAAGAGGAACCCTATTACACTGCTGGTGGGAATGTACACTTATACAACCACTTTGGAAAGCAGTCTGGAGGGTCCTTAGAAAGCTAAAGATTGACCTCCCTTACGACCCAGTCATACCACTTCTAGGCATCTACCCTGAACAACAGGAACCAATATACAAGGACACGTGCACCTCCATGTTTATTGCAGCACTGTTCACAATAGCTAGGATATGGAAACAACCCAGATGCCCCACCACAGATGAATGGATCCAAAAATTGTGGTATCTATACACAATGGAATATTATGCAGCCATTAGAAATGACAAAATAATGGCATTTGCAGGGAAATGGATGGAGCTAAAAGGAATCATGTTGAGCGAGGTAAGCCAAGAGCAAAGAGACAAATGGTACATGGTCTCCCTGATAAGTGGATGCGAAATCCAAAATGTTAGGTGATACGACAAAACTAACAGGACTTAAGAAACAAAGAACTCCCACTCATCTGGTCGAACCACTACTAAATATCCCCATGCTGCTGATCACATGTATGGTGTATAACATGTGAACACCGTTATATGTTATAGACTGTGATAGACAATTTGCTCCAGGAAAGTTAGAATGAACTTGTGGCTTTAAATGAGCATCATTATTCCACAATACTGTGAAATTCGGGAAATTATGTAATCACTTAATCACAATCAAAAAAGAACCTCTGGGAAGGTAGGGAGGGAGGGGATGGTAGGGGGAAAACAATGGAGGGGGTAACAATGTTCAATAGGAAGTGTACTCATTACCTCACTCATGTAACTGTAACCCTCTCTATAGTATCTTTACAATAAAAAAAATTATTCTTCCTACTCTCCTCCTTTTTATAAGTAATCAGTTAGACTATATTTATCCACATATATGATATGTATATGTGCGTTCATGTCTAAGAATATGTCTTTTAGGTATAGCTTCCACAAATAAAAACAGTTCATCTGTTTCTAGGCAACTAGATGAGTTAATATTCAATTAAATGAATTAATATCGGAACTAACAATTTGGCCTTGTTTAATAGTTTGACTGCTGTTTAAAAGAAACCAGTATACCAAAAAATGTAGAGTATACTTCAGAGTTGGATTGGAATTCTTTGTCTAGTCTCTCTAACTTAATCTTACATGTAAAGAGTAACTAAACCATATTTTCTCAAAAAGTATTTTAATCAAAATAAGAGCAACTTCCTTTCAGATCTGTATTAATCTTAATCTAATACCAACAATTAGAAATACTAGATTTTCAGAAGAAAAGAATATGGAAAAGTTATGTTCTTTACATAGAACCATAGGATACTTTCTAACATTCCAGCTATGCTAGTAGGAACTTACAAAAAGGGAAATTCTTCCTTTTAAAATGTACTTGTTACTAACACCGCCTTGGCTGATAAGAAGGGATACTTATATCTCCAGAGGCAAAGATGTAAGTACAGAAGATTAAATTCGTCTTCTAGGACTCAAGGATGGATACAAAGCATGTTTGCCACGCTGCATCTGTTTTGAACCAGTTAGCATTTAGCCACTCCCATTACTAGGTTAAACTGTGTTAAAAGGACAAAAACATCTGTGATCATGTTATAATCAACATTTTAAGCTGCAATGAAGTATTATAAGTCATGATTTTTCCACATTTAAGAAGAGTTTATATTTGTGGAGAAAACCTGCATTTCTGAGAAATTAGAAGTTGTATCTATAAGTCTATAGACATGAAAATTTTTTAATCAATTAAATTTAAAAATCTACCTTTAGTAATTGTGGCTCATACCTGGGGAAGTACTTTTCTATGTGTGTTTTCAAGGTATTGTTGTTCCTCCTGGTTGTAATAAAGTTTCCTTTTTGTCTTTTAATTTGATGATATTTTGATTACATGAATCACTATACACTTATGTTGGTTGATCTTTTCTGTGTAACTTGTTCCATTATTTTTTATTTAAAAATCACTTTCCAGACAGTTGCTGGTGGCTTACACCTGTAATCCTAGCTATGCAGAAGGCTGAAATCTGAGGATCACAGTTCAAAGCCAGCCCAGGCAGGAAAGTTCCTGAGACCCTTATCTCCAATTAACCACCAGAAAACTGGAAATGGCTCTTTGGCTCAAGTGGTGTAGAGCACTCACCTTGAGCTCAAGAGCTCAGGGACAGCACCTAGGCCCAGAGTTCAAGCCCCATGACCGACCAAAAAAAAAAATTTTTTTTTCCAGCCTAAGGCCAGTTAAATACCCACCTATATCATTTTAATTGTTAAAAATGTTTTAGAGTTTCCTGTTTCAGAAATTGTTAACTATGAGTCCTCAATAGAACTTCAGAGAGTCAAAGAATGTATTAAAGTAATCCTATACATACTTGTATACATACCTGTATGTGTCTTTTTCTATGAAAGAGTCAACAACTATTTCTAGAGGCCCCTTTAAAGGATCAGCCACCCTTCCAAAGGGTGGCTGAGCACTGCTACTGTAAGCCATATGCACATTAGTCCATCTTGGATGGTGTACTGGGACTAATTTTTTTCCTTTTCTTAAGATAGTTCAGTAAATATACTAGATTATTTAATCATCATCTCTGGTGGTTTGCTTGTAGTACATTTGAAAAATAAATTTGTGTTTAGTTAACTAAGTTATTATCTTATCTCCCTAGAGAAAGTTAGAGAGATTCAAGAAAAACTTGATGCTTTCATTGAGGCTCTTCATCAGGAGAAGTAAACTGTATTAGGTGAGTAAAAGTTCTGCATTGGTACTAAAAACATAATTTATATTTTAAATTTTTCTTACTAGTTTATTCTGTTCTAACTTGCTTTTAGCATTTTAGTGGCATGGATCTCTAAAACTATACTGGTCCTTCAAATCTCTGATTCCCTCTGTCTAAGCTAAAAATATTCTCTACAACACATTTTATGCAGAAAACAGGTGAGCAAAGGGCTGAGAGATTTTATAGTAAGTGACGCATTTACTGCACTGAGGAATTGAACTTTAGCTGTCATTATTTTATTCCTCATGGTCATAGTCAGCGCTTAATTGTGTATTTGTGTTTATTTTCATCTGATTGCATAGCTACTTATTTGAGGAATCCTTAATCTAACTCTATTTTTTTAAAAAATTATCAATATTCTTTTTCTATTTAAATTTATTTATATAGCCTTAGAATCTATTGGTCCTTTTGACTGTTGTCTGGTTCTATAGTCTGCCATTATAAGCCATGTTCCTAATAAAATATATAGTTAAGGACTTTGCTAGTACATTTCCAGTTGCTGATCATCATTTAGCAATTATTATTGGTAAGTCAGTTGCTTTTAGTGAAGGAGTTGAGAAAAGAAAACCACTATGAACAAGCCATTATCACTTATTGAAATACTCACTGAAATGGAAGGAGTGGGACTGTGGAAGGTTCCATCACTAGCAACTCATGCGCCCCAGCAGTGAGCTTCACATTACGTCTTGCTCTGTACTGTAAGGGTAAAGGCCTGAGAAGAAGGCCAGGGAGAAAGGGAGGCACTATTCAGATCCTTGTTCTTAATGGGGCACTACTAGTAAAGGAAAGGAACAAGGCATTTCAGAGAAAAGGTTTGAATCTTTATTTTGTTTCTTTGAAAGACAGATATATAAAAGTCTATAAAAATACAGAATATCTGTAACACAAGCTAAAAATGATATCATGCTTGTATAAGTGGCAGTATTTGTAAATGTTTTCTATATCTTCAGTGCTTGAAAATTTATTTTACACCCAGAAAGTATTCCAGTATCATCCTAGTGATGAAACTTACTAGAAATAGTTACTATTTTTTTTTTTTTACTGCTTGAACCACACCTCTAGTTATCACTGAGATGGGGGTCTCACTTTTTCCCCAACTAGCCTGGACCATGATCCTCCTGTTTAAGCTTTCTTCCATAGCTGGGATGACATGCATACCACCAGACTCAGCTCTTTTTGTTGAGATGGGATCCTAAGAACCTTTTTGCCAAAACTGTTACCCTCCCAATCTCAGTCTCCTGGTTGGTTGCCATGACAGGCTCCTCTTACTTTACCCAGCATTTGCTAGAGATGCAGTCACAAACTTTCTGCCCAGGCTGGTTTTGAACCCTAATACTCTTAATTCCTGCCTCTTGAGTAACTAGGATTATAGGTATAAGCCAACAGATATAAGCATTTTTATTTCTTCCTTTATTTAGAATTTCTGTTTAGTACCAGAATGTACATGACAAGATTGTTTACAACATGGTCTTTGGAAGAAAGAATTCATGAAAGCCACAGAAACTATTAAAATACTAGCTATATCTATCCTCTAAGTTATTCACAGTATAATATCTAGAGTTGTAATTGCTTCCAGAGATGTAATTGCATGTCTTTTATCTGTTAGAATGTGTACCCCAAGAGCAGCTCAGGGCAGTCTTAAGAGTCAAATAGTGGTAATACTTGTGCACCTAAGGCCTGAGTGTAGGAAAAAGATCCCAGCTCTCTTTGTCCCCTACCTGTTTGCTCTATGACCACACCATGTATTCTATGACTGGGGACTTTTGCAAACTGTCTCTGAGTTGGACAAGTGATCAGATTGTACTCTACAGATCCACTAAATCCTGCAGAGTGGTAGCCCTGTTTGCTGAGGTGTTTATATCCAACACAGCCACGCAGATTCTTCTTTATCAACCAATTTTTAAATGTCTTACATTTTTATATAGAAAATGAATTTTAATATATTTTCATTCACATGTTAGATAAAAATTATGCTAATGCTTTGTGAAAGGTGATTTAAGAATGATTTTAACAAAATCAGAAACAGAAATAGTTAGGCTTCAATTTTTTATGATCATGTAATAATTAAAGTTTGTTGAGAAACGCTGCATTTGTCTTTCCAGACCTAAATTAATCAAATGGATTTATTTTTACAGAATCCTCATAACCGCCTCTGCATACATCTGAAGAAACAAAACGTCAGTCTTTTGTCCTGCCTCTCTTCCTTCTGCTATTCCACCTTCTTAAACATACAATAAAAGTCATAGGGGAAAATAATTCATGTGTGTTTCAGGCACTTTGACCCTCAGCTGCCTTTTGACTAGAAGAACAGTGAAACTGGCATTATCATCCTATATAATTGTACCAAGGTAACAGATCAGTATAATTGGCCTAGCCACTCAGGCTAGTCCTTGAAGATAGGAAACTTGCTCTCTACTCTGTTGTCTTATTTGTGGTGGCACTAGTGTAATTCATTATCCATGGTATTCACTGTGTCTTTTTCAGAACTATAATGCTAGTCATTTTGGAATAGTACTTTTTTTTAAGTTATCATTTGTATATAAAATGATAGTAGCTTGCTAAGTCATCATCTGTAAATATAGAGTTCTCCTCCCAGGCATTAGTTAACTGTTAATTCAGTTATGAGGGGAGGGAAAAACTGATTAAGGGAAGATCCTCAGATAGGTAAATTTGGATTTTAACAATTCAGTGTATAATCAGTGAAAAAAAAAACCAGGCTTGATTGCTAGGTTAGAAATTGTTTTAGAAGCGATTAGTAGCAGCTTGCCTTCAGTTGATATTTTTCCACACTCGACATCCATTCAGAATTCATTTATTTTGAATGTTGTGTACTTAAGTTGGGTATTCTGTTAACAGTAGGGTTTTTCTTTTCCTATTAACAGAAACCCATGGCAGGGGATGGAAAAGACTTAAGAATAATCAATTGACTTATTTCATTTAGAATATTGTCAAATATTTGGACATCAGGAAAAGGCTTTCTTCCTATGGCTTTTTTTTTTTTTTTTTGAGGGGTGAGTGGCAGGGAGCTCAGGGGATTGAACCTGGAGCCTCAGACTTGCTAGGCAAATACTGCAGCACTGTGCTACTCCCTCACTACCCCTCTATTCTAAATAGAAATCATTGCAACAGAATAATGGTCACCATTTCCCTCTCAGTTGAAAATTAAAACAAAATTTAAAGTTAAATCATTGCAGTTCAAGTACAGTAATGCTTTTCCAACATTTTCATGTTTTATACAAACTTGTTTTATTAATTAACAGACTTTAAAAAAAGAAATACACCATTTTTAACTTATAAAATTTTCCTCTTTTGCTGTTTATTAAGGCTTTATTATGCTAACAGAACATACCTACTTTGTGAGTTTTTAATTTTACAGTTTACATTGAGTAAAGATCAAGAGCGGCCTATACTATTTTGGGGATTGTTTTTTGATAACGATTTTCTGCTTACACACACATACTCACTTGTTTCTTTTTTTATCTGAATACATTCTTCATTGCGCTCCTTCATGATTTGACAGTATGCATGGGTGGAGAATGTCACCGATAGTTGAGTAAATACAGCTATTTAATTTAAACTGTGAGGTAGAAACATCTCCTTTTTGCAGTTAGTAGCAGTGTGTGTTGTTGTTTAATAGACAAGTAAGTGGTCAAGGACATTTCCAGTTTTCTTGTAGGTGAGGGACAGTGGTCAGCACAAAGGGCACAGAGCCCTGTGATGGTCCACACTAAGATTAGCAGCTGGCCTTACGGGGTAAGCCCTGACAGCCACAGTAAACCCCCTCACTGGAGCACATATCACACAATGTGCAGCTGAGAAACACCCATTACAACTACATGTCTACTTCTAAAGGAGTAAAGAAATAGCCTGTTTGTTTCTGTGAATTATGGATAGATAAGAGGCCCCCCAGCTTTATTTCTGCAGATTCATTCTTTGCCAAATGCTGAAGTTAGGGAGTCATTTTTTCACATCCTCTTGTTTAAATTTTGTTTTTTCTTTTTAACTGGAAGAGGAGAACTTTCAATCCTGTGAGAGAGTTAGTAGTGTAACTTAAATATAAAAGTTGCTGATAAATATATATATGTTTTTTAAAAGTGATTCCTGGGCTGGGAAGGTGGCTCAGTGGTAGAGCACTTGCCTTGCATGCTCGAGGCCCTGGGTTCGATTCCTCAGCACCACATAAGCAAAAAAAAAAAAAAAAAAAAAAAAGTGATTCCTTTCACACTCCTTACCCCTCAACAATACAGTTTCTTTCATGGATTGGCTTTTTTTGTTGTTGTTATTTTGTGTTTGTTTTTAGTTGAAGTATGCTTTCTCCCCTCCCTTGAAAACTAAGTATTTATTAATTGCAGTTGTTATGAAAAGAAAATAATAAAATTCAGTCTCAACAGTAAGTACTGTGTGTTGTATCTGTAGTTCAAAACTACAAATGATTCAAACTTAAATATAAAAAATAATCAGCCAGTTGCTACACAGAAGTTAAAGTATAACTGTATCTAATCTAATCATCTGTTTATCATGTCAGGCTTTGCAAAGAATGGAATAAATCAAGGACAAATTAATAGATGAGGATATGTGTAGGCTGTGCACAGTAGGAAATGTGTGGTATGTTCTCACCCCACAGTAGAAATGGCTGACCTGTACTTACAGGAGGAACAATCAGCCTTTCTAGTTTAATCATTGTCTTTGTAGTAGCCTCATTTTCCAGGCTTTCATCCAGTGCACTCCTTCCTACAAATTATACAGTAATCAAATACAAAAACATAAAACTAAGAAAAGAAAGAAAATACCTAAGAAACATTACAAGCTTGAGACTTGGCATGTAAGATGCACAGTGAGGTTGCCAGTCATGCTGGTGTATGCACTGGGGAGGCCAAGCAGGAGAATCGTGAGTTTAAGGCCATCCCAGGGTATACAGTTAGACTCTACCTTAAAATGTTTAGAGTATGGGTTTAAACAACAAATTCCTTAGCTGCTTAATTATTTCATTTTTATTTATTTTGGATGTATTTATCTGATAAAAGAAGTATGGTATTTTTTCTCTCCAATAAATGAAATCATAGTAACTCCTACAACCCAATTCTCTAAGCTGGTATGTGTTGTACTTTCAGCTGCATTAGCATTTGGAAAATGTGCTTTAAGATATGCATACTTTTTATGACTGGTTATAACTGTGTGATGTTTAAATACTCAAAATATCCCTTGTTTCCATTTGTCCACTGTGAATGAACTTTGTATGATTTATTTTTAAATCTCACGCTAAATGTAAATGTCACTGCAACTTATATTTTGCCCTGTGCTTGATCTAAGGTCATTTATGTTGCTAAGTCATTAAAAGATACTTAAATCACATGATTCTATTATTAAAGAGCATCTTTCAAAGTTTTACTGTTTGAATGAGAGAGAAAGAGGCGTGTGTACTTGGGAGTCAGTATTTGACCCCATAGTCTAAATTTATGGGCTAATAGTTCTACCTATGGCTCTTGTCTGAAAGCTTGAATTTCACACACCTTGAATTTTTGTCACAATTGTAGTCTATATTCCTCTGATATTTTTTTTCTCCTATTTTGATGCTTGTCCAAACGTTTTGGTACTCTCTCTGGTGGAATATATAAAAAAATGCTTTCTAATTGTACTTTGCTCCCACAACTCTCACTTTATATATGAGGAAGTTATAGGCCCATAGGAATGGGAAAGATCATTTAATTTCATCATTATTTCATTTCTACCAGAACTTTACTCATAGGTAATGCTTACTCTGTATTGGTTGATTCAGTTTTCATCCTTTTTTGCAAGTCAAGTTCAAAATCTTTATCAAAAAAGTAAAGAATTTATTTGCTGAGGACTTAAATAAAAATGTGTTTTCTTTGAGCATTTTTAATTAAAGAATTCATATGGTTATTCTGTGTTTATAACCAGCATATTATTTATTTCATAAAACACCTTTTAAGATAATCACTCCTGGTCACTAAGATGGTCATAAGTCTTGCACTAATTAGTATAAAATATAAATTCAGAAAGCTCAAGAGTTAAGGCAGAGTACTAAAAGTAAGAGAGGTAAAGGTAATAAATGCTAGGAGAATATCAAGAATGGTTTTGTGCTTTGTTTGCTTTCTTGCCTGCATGTTTGGCAGTACTGGCCAGTACTGGACTTTGAACCCAGGGCCTTGTGTTTGCTAGGCAAGCATTCTATTGTCTACGCCACACCCTAGCACAGGAACATTTAAATCAGGTGATGTTTTAGCCTGAAGAAGACAGTTGCTATGACTAAGGGTAAGAAAGGCCTGCATCATAAATCATCAATTCCTAACATGGTAGGGCCAAGGTACTTGAAAACCAAGAGTGTGTGTATGTGTGCAGCTCCCACAGAGTGATGTTCACAGCCTCCAGGACCAGTGTTAAGGCTCCTTTGGGTGAAGTCCCTAACATGGAAGTCATTACTTCTTTTAAATGTGTTTAAAACAAAGCTATTCTTTCTTCTGTGTGGTGAAGGATTTCTGTTGTTGCTGTTATTATTTTTAACCCAAGTGTAAATTGCTTCTTGTACTAGTATTTGAGAAGATTAAATTACACACACACACACACACACACACACACACACACACACACACACACGGCAGAAGGTCAAGCATTGGTGGCTTATACCTGTAATCCTAACTACTCAAGAGGCTGAGATCAAAGCTCAAAGCCAGTTCAAAGCCAGTGCAGATAAGAAAGTGGGTTGACACGCTTATCTTCAGTGGCTCAAATGGTAGAATGCAAGCCTTGAGCCTAAAAGCCCAGAGACAGCACCCAAGCCCTAAGTTCAAGACCTAGGACCAGCACACACACACACACACACACACACACACACACGATTATAGAACATAATTCTATTCGTATCAAATGTGCTATGTTTGTGATCCAACTAGTGGGTGAGGCATTTGGACCTAGATGTTCTCCCAGTTGGGTGCCCCGTACGATTCTCTCCCCCAGCTGTGTACTCTATGATGGTCTGGGCTTTTGATGTGCAGATACTACAAGTTGGTCACAAACTTGGGTACAATGAGCCTGTTCTGGTTCATGTGAAAATCAACATCCTTTTTTGTGTTATCCAGTGACAGGATGCTACAATACTATTAGCATTTGCAAAGAGTGTGCTCTGTCCAAGGGTGTAACCACAGATCGTGTGCTGCTCAGTTTGCGTTTCTCTATTATGTGAGAGACACAAAGAAGCTGAAGGCTGGCAAAGGCCTGTCAAATCTTGTAATGTAGCG